AATCCCCACATGTATTGGTATACCAAATTTTATGTCATCCCTTATGTTAATGTAAGATGTAATTGATGTGACAAAAATATCGGTCTTGATGTGCTCGAAATATCGGCTCACCATGATTGTTGGTTGAACTGTCTCGTCTTGATTGTCTCATACCAAGAACTCGATCAACCTGCAAAAGCACTGGGGGCGGGGCTCCGGTATAGACACTTCAATGCTCAAGTCAGAAAACTTAAATCTCAAACACGGACACACGGGACACAGCTAAAGTGACGTATTAGTCTTGTCCTTTGTCCCACAGAACCGATGTTCATGGCATATTACACAAGTTCAAAAACATACTATCGACATGTTTGGAAAACGAAACACACAACTACTTGAATATCAGAATTAAACAACGATATTTGTTACACTCATCACACAGAAATCCGAAAGAAATTATACAATCAGATAAAGATACATTCCTAAAGCACTGCATCATTGTAGCTAAAACAACCCAGTAAAACCTCTAATACGCAAAATAAGCACTGGGTGTCCAAAAATAAAAGCTTTCTATCATGGATTAGGATTCCAAATATAAACTTGGCCTTCATTTGTTGCACCTGCGAGCATACCTATGTTGTATGGATGTGCATCAAAGCGGCATGGAATAGCAGTCATGAGGTCACTTTTCAAAGTAGAAACAGTTTTCTTATCGGGAATGGAGATGACATCAATTCCTCGTTTCATATTACCAATGAAGATGGATGAATCATCCCAGCCCCATATGCTTCTGCTTCCATAACGAGAATAACAAACCAATAACTAACTTATCCCCTAAAAGAGGCTTTGCAATTAATCGCATCATACGAAGATTCTAAAGGAAGTAATCAGATAGTACTAGTTATGTAGCTATATTTTCCACATTTTCGTAATGTTTATCAGTTACAGTGCATTTGCTGTGTCAGGTTCATGTATAGTAAAAAATATTGAGACAAGATTAATAAAAGCATATCAAGTTGAACCAAGCTGTCCTCAACTATCTGGAATTCCAAACATGATTAGAAGAACTATTTTCAAAAACAAAACAAAACAAGAACAAGGTTGTTTATAGCATGTACTTGGGCCAGTTTTTAATGCCATGGAATTCAAGTGTAGAACAAAGTGTTGTACTTTCGTGAAATAATGAAATGTTAACAATCCGGAAAATGAAATAGGAATACATAGGAAACTAAGACAATTGTTAGCTGCACATTCATGCAAACCTTTCTTTAGCAAGAGAAATTCCATACCTGATTGAAATACACCTTCTTGTGGAGATCCATCTGCCTGCCCGATTGAAATGATACATCATGTATGTATTCTCATAATTAGCTCCAGTTGACAATCCAACCTTGTCATCAAGACTGCAGGAACAGTTAAAGCCACTATCAAAATCCTATTTCTTAATACCTTTTAGTTTAAGGATTTTACTACATGCACATGTTTTAGTGTGCATGAGGTGTGTACATATACTCACATGAAGAGGTACCCATTTTATAAACTATTTTGATGGGACCCACTTCATGCGACTGCAAGAACACATTTTTATGTACACTAAATTATGTACAGGTACCATATTCAAAATTTGATAGTACATTTTACTACTACAATGCAATAACATATAGGCCAAAAATCAAAATAAACAAAGTTAAAAATCTCTGTGTGCAGACATGGATGAAGATGTTTTTCCAGAGTAGAAACTAGTTTTTCGGACTCGTATGTTAAGATCACTGATTACAAAAATATAGTGAAATAAAAGACCCTAAAAGATTTCCAACAAGAAAAACTACATGAGAATTCACTTTGATATATCAAAAGCAATAAAGCATAACCACTATCAAAAACTAAGCAGCAGACTGATTTGTTATGAGATTGAACCCAAACAGACCTTGTTGTTGCCAGGAACTTCCCAGTGGGTGAAAAGAAAGCAGAATGCACAGCTCTCCTATGATTAACAGTCTTCAATGGCGTTGGCTTATTGGCATTTATGCGTCTTAGATCCCAAATACAAGCAGTGGAATCTGTAGAACTTGTAGCCATAACATTCGCATTTTCCGAGCTAAAGTCTATGGTGTTGACTCTATCTACATGCAAATCACATGATAACAAACATTTTCCTGCTCGTACATCCAACATAC